AGTCTCACTCTTTGTCGCCCAGGCTGGAGTGCAGTGGCACGCTCATGGCCACCGCAGCCGTGACCTGCTGCTGGGTTTAGGCGATCCTTCCACCTCAGCCTTCCAAGTAGCTGGAACTTCAAGTGTGCGCTACCATGCCCGGCTAATATTTTTATTTATTGTAGAGATGCAGTCTCACCAAGTTGCCCAGGTTGGTCTCGAACCGCCGGGCTCAGGCAGTCCTCTCACCTCAGCCTCCTAAAGCGCTGGGATTACAGGCTGAGCCACTACGCCCAGCGTAGAGTACTTATTGAGGGTCTACGATGTGCCAGGCACCTGTGGACAGTGAAGGTATACGAAGGAGACCCTCCCAACCAGGGGCTTGCATTCAAGTGGTCCCACACTCACAAGTGAGGGGATTTAGGAATTTGGACAGGCTGGGAACAGTGGCTCACGCCTCTAATCCCAGCACTTTGGGAGGCTGAGGTCAGAGGATTAATTCAGTCCAGGAGTTCAAGACCAGCCTAGACAAGAGAGTGAGATCTCGTCTCTATAAAAATTCAAAAAAATTAGCCAAGTGTGTTGGTGTTCACCTGTAGTCCCAGATACTTGAGAGACTGAGATTAAACTCAGGAGGTTGAGGCTGCAGTGAGCCGTGATCATGCCACTGCACTCCAGCCTGGCTGACAGAGTGAGACCCTGATTCAAGGAAAAAAAAAAAAAAGAATTTGAAACAGTGAGTAAAATTAGAGTTCTAATCCTAGGGAAAGAGAGCAAGTCACCCTACCCCAACTGTCCGCCACCAATTTGGGACCTGATCATAGACTTTCTAGGGCAGAGAGGTGCTGTACCCACAATTGCCCAGAGTCACGTGCCCATTGGCTTAGGGCAGGGGCCATATGTCCTCTGCCTTGTGGCTGACATTATCTTCAGGACATCACCCGCCTCTTCCAGCTTTGAGTCTGAGAATCTTTTGGGAAAATGGCAGATATAAATCTTAGAAAAAGGCCAGGTGTGGTGGCTCTCCTAGCACTTTGGGAGGCAGAGGACTGCCTGAGTCTGCAAGTTCGAGACCAGCCTGGGCATCATGGCGAGACCTCATCTCTACAATAAATCAAAAAATTAGCTGGGTGGCACATGCCTGTAGTTCCAGCTACTTGGAAGACTGAGGTGGAAGGATCACCTGAGCCCAGTAGCCCGTGAGTGTGCCACTGCACTCCAGCCTGGGCAACAGAGTGAGACGTCGACTCAAAAATAAAATAAAATAAACAAAAACAAAAACTAACTAACTAACTAAATCTTGTAAATAAAAAATGAGCTTCCTTAAAAATTAAGTCTACAAGAACTGGGAAAATGAATGAAATGAAGGTTGCCGTCCACGCGCCTCCTGCGTTCGTGACTATTTTGATCCACAGACTTAACGAGGTGTGTCTCTGTGTTCTGGTCCAAATGCTTTGGCAGCCCCATGGCTGCCCCAGCTTGTGTTCCCCGGGTAGGACCAGATTGGAATGTGGCTGTTCTCACACCTGAACTGCCCAGGGCTGGGATGGCCCTCCTGGGAGGGCAGTGCTTAGGGTGAGTTCTTACGGTGCTGGCAGGTTTGGAAGCAGGAGTCCCTGGTTGGCCAGAGGGGTGGAGAGGGCAGAAGAGGGGGTCTGGGGGCTGCAGGAAGGGGCTACTATGATCAAAATCTTAAGGGTGGCAGAGCAGAAGTGGGCAGGCTCAAGGTGTGATCTGGGTGATGGGGATGGGATGAGGTGAAGGGGTGCAGGCTCAGGGTTGAGGGAGGTGATGTGGAAAGGGGGGAATCTCCAGAGGACCTGGCCTCAGAGCATCCCCGACCCAGGCCCGTATGGAAAGGAGCCAGGACTTGGGCTTGTGTTTTCCAGGCTGTTTATCTCTGAGCGGCCCCCGCACCGTGACGGGCACCGTGGGAGGATCCCTGAACGTGCAGTGTCAGTATGAGGCGACATACAGGAGTTCCAGCAAATACTGGTGCAGAAAAGTGGTTTATAAGCTATGTGAGAAGGTTGTGGAGACCAAAGAGCCAGAGAGAGAAGAGAGGCACGGCCGAGTATCCATCAGGGACCACCCTGCACAGCTCGCCTTCATGGTGACCATGTGGAACCTCACAGAAGAGGACGCAGACACATACTGGTGTCAGATCAACAAAAACTTGCTGGATCTCTCCTTCCAGGTGAAGGTTTCCGTGTTCCCAGGTGAGCCTCTCCTTTACTGACCTCAGGGACACCTGACGGGGCCCAGGTTGGAGCAGCTGGGGCAGAAATCAGATCAGAGACAAGAGCAGACTATGTATGCATGTGTGCATGTATATGAGTGTGTGTGGGTGGGGGGAGAGAAAGAGAAAGAGAGAAAGAGAGAGAGAGAGAGAAGCATTCTGGAGCAGCGGGCATCTCTGCCCAGGCTGGATGATGGAAGGTGCTCGTCAGTTGATGAGGAGAATGAGAGAGCGCAGAAGCACAAAACAAAACAAAAACTAACTAGCTGCGTGAAAAAGGGAGTTCAGGCAGAGGCCGGCAGGGCCAGGCGGGTGGGCGCTGAGCACAGCCAGAGCTTCACCACGTGACAGTTCAGATTTGCAGTCGAGACAGACTTCTCTGCAGCACGGGGGAGACACGACGTAGGGACCCACGGGAGGACCGACTCGCCAGGGCATGGAGTCAGGACTCTTGAGGGGATACCTGTGTCCACGGGAGGGTCCTGGAGAGACTCGCGCCCCAGGGTCCTCCATCCTGCGCCCTTCCCCGTGAACATTTTGTGTGAAATCAAACCCCAAGGGCATGGCTGGGCGGGGGGAGAGGCAGAGGAGCGATCCCTGCATCTGATTTATGGTTTTGCCGCCAGCATTCACGCCAACGACACCTACAGGTACCACGGTGGCCAAGACCTGGACAATCACAACCACAGGCCCACCTGAGTCACCCACCACCTTGTCTGCCGTGAGTCCCACCCACAGTGCAAGCTTCCAGGGGGACCACGAACAGAGGCCGCGCTCACAGTAAGCACCCTACGTCCTGTGACGTGGAGGGGACCTCGGCCATGTGGGCCAGCTGGAGGGCCGAGTCATGGCCCTAACCCCAGGCCCAGGTGGAAGCCACAGTCTGTACATCCGGCTTGGACGGCCAAGGCCTCTCTGGACCTGGCCTGCTTAGGCTGGGGAGAAGCTGGGGGTGGATGGAAGGAGTGATATTAACAAGTGCTGGTGAGATCCTACCAGGACTGTGCTAAGTGCTTCCCACAGATCTTCTCAATTGCTCCTCACACACCCGTGTGCTGTCATCATCCCTGTTTTACAGATGGGTATACTGAGTCTCAGAGAGGTTAAGTAATTTGTCCCATCAGGTAGCTACAAGAGTCAGGGCTGGGCTTTCAATCCAGGTTTATATGACTAAAATCCCGGGTTCTCTCCTCCAAATAATGTTTCTCAGCCTTTTTGAGGGTCAACCACCCCACAGAGAATCTGATGTCGATAGACTCCCCAGAAAAATGCATGTAGTCACAAACCACTTCTGAGATTCACAGACTCCCTATTCTAACCCACCTGGAGCCCTGCGGTTCCATTCTGGCACTGGCCACCCGGAGTTAGCACAGACCCTATAGGTTAAGCGCTCTGACCTCCACAAGACCACCCTCATTCAGCTGCACTTTGGGAATCCCCAGGCCATCACCACTTCTGACCAACTGGCTACAAACTTCGGGGTTCCTAGGACCCTTTCAGGTTCAACAATATAGTGCTCTGAAAAGTACTATACTTATTACAAGTTTATCATAAAGGATAACAATCAGGACCAGTCAAATGAAGACACAGGTAGGGTGAGGTCTGGGAAGATCCCAAACAAAGCTTCTGTGCCCTCTCCAGGTGGAATCAGGGAGCATAACCTCCACCCCCAGTCAATGTGTTTATCAACCAGGAAGCCCCTCCAGGTCTCAGTGTCCAGAGTTTCCGTTGGCATTTCATTACGTAGGCGTGATTGTTTGATCATCGGCCACGTGACTGAACTCAATCTGTATCCTCTCTCCTTCTCCTGGAAGTTGAGCTGGCTCAGAGTCTCAGATCTCTAAGTTCCTGGTTAGTCCTTCTGGGGAGCAGCCCCATCCTGTTAACTCAACTCTTAGGGAAACTCGGGTGTGATTCATGAACAACAAAGATACTTTGTTACCTGGGAAATTCCCAGGCTTGGACCTCCCTCCCAGGAACTAGGGACAAAGGCCAGTCAGATTCTTATTTTTAGAAAGCAGCATTTGTTGAGAGGACAGTGGGAGGGCACCCAATCAAGTGTTACAATATAACACCCGCGAAGCCCTTTCTAGAGGCTTCCACCCACCCAGAATCACAATCTTAATATCAGACAAGGTAAGATTCAGACCCAAACATGCCACTTCCAGGTGTGTACCTTGTAGAGACACATGGGCCACGGAGCTGGGTTTTGTGGGACCTGAAGGTTGTACAATTTGGAGAGGTATCTAAGAAAAAGATGAGAAAATTATGACTGCAAAATTAGGCACGAAAGAAGGGACCCAAGAAAGGGAGGGATCTGAAGCTTGGCTGTGTCAGCATCATGGTCAATCTGCTGCTGTGTGGTCAAGTGTGAAGTGTCGAAGCTGCGAGGATATTTGTTGCAGCAACATTTGTAAATGCAAGAGACTGAGAGAAGTGACCCTCCAGAAGGGACATGATCTCTCCATGCAATGGGATACTATGCAGCTGTAGAGAGGAGTGAGGGGCTTCCTGGAAAGTTCTCCAAGTTGTGTTGTTAAGTAAAACCAGAATAAGCCGGGCTCGGTGGCTCAGCCTGTCATCCCGCGCCTTTGGGAGGATGAGGTGAGTGGATTGCCTGAGCCCGCGGGTTCGAGACCCGCCTGGGCAACTTGGCGAGACCTCATCTCCACAATAAATCAAAAATCAGCCAGGCGTGGTAGCGCGCGCCTGTCATTCCAGCTACTTGAAAGACTGAGGTGGAAGGATCGCCGGAGCCCAGCAGGTCGAGGCTGCGGTGGCCGGGAACGGCCACTGCACTCCAGTCTGGGCGATGGAGTGAGACTCCAACTCAAAAAAACCCCAAAAAACCCAGAATAGTGTTATACTATGCCTCCTTTATGTGAAAAAAGAAGAGAAACAACATACATGCATATTTGCTTGTATACCAATAAAGAACCTCTGGAAGTTTCTCAAGTACACTGCATGTGAGTATTTGGGGCAATTGAAATATGTGTAGATGGGATTATACTTTAAAAAATTGACCTCAGCTTGGCAGGGTGGCTCACATCTGTACCCCAGCACTTTGAGAGGCCGAGGCGAGAGCATTGCTTGAGACCAGGAATTTAGACCAGCCTGGGCAACATAGCAAGACCTTGTCTCTACAAAAAAATCAAATCAGACATGGTGGTACATGACTGTCGTCCCAGCTACTTGGGAGGCTGAGGCAGAAGAATTGCCTGAGTCCAGGGGGTTGAGGCTGCAGTGAGCCGTGATTATGCCACTGCACTCCAGCCTGGGTGACAGAGGGAGACTTCAACTCAAAAAAAAAAAAAGGACCTCATCTCTCTACCTAAAGAGTGAGGGAGGAGGCTGGGGTCGGTGGCTCAGCCTGTCATCCCAGCACTTTGGGAGGCCGAGGCGAGCAGATTGCCTGAGCCTACGGGTTCGAGACCCACCCAGGCAACTTGGCAAGACCCCATTTCTACCATAAATCAAAAATTAGCTGGGCATGGTAGCACGTGCCTGTAGTTCCAGCTACTTGGAAGGCTGAGGCGGAAGGATCGCCGGAGCCCAGCGGGTCGAGGCTGCGGTGGCCATGAACATGCCACTGCACTCCAGCCTAGGTGATAGAGTAAGACTCCAACTCAAAAAGAAAAAAAAAAAGAATGAGGGAAGCAAGACTGCCCACCTGCCTCACCTACCCTGTGTCTCTGTCTAGGCTTCCTCTGCTCCTGTCCTTGTTGGCACTACTGCTGCTTCTGCTGGTGGGGACCTCTCTGATGGCTTGGGGTTTGCTTCAGAAGCAACTCAAAGGTGAGTCAGCTCTCGTACCCTCTGCCCCACAGGTGGGTAGGTCCCGACCAGGTTGTCATCAAGGCTCTGTCCTGGTTCTTCAGCAAGTGCGAAGCCTCAGACCCTATATCCCAGTGTCCCCAGAGGGCAGTCCCCAGAGGAGGTATCCCAGCGTGTGCTGGTTACAGGCTGTGGAAGGTGGCTCCCTGGAGAGAGGCCTTTCCCCCCGCGGGGCCTGGGGTGGTTGTCCCATGAAGTACCAACCCTGTGCTGGCGCATGCCTGCGATCCTAACTGTAGTGGCCGAATGTTCAATCCGAGAGACCACCAAGAGCCAATTCCGATGAAAGTTCAAGAAGGTCTTTATTTGCAAGTTCGAGCCTGGACCTCTATCGACAACTGACGCAGCGGAGTACACCCAGAGGCCCTAACTTTCTTAAGCAGACAACTTTTATGTTTTTACACAAAGGGAGGAGGAGTTTGGGGGGACTTTTCAGTCTTGTTACCATTTAATTGGGTAGTAACCTCTGGTGGTCAGCT